TTGAGCAAGCTTGGCTTTAGGCCAAAGCACCTGATGATGTTTTCAGCTATTAAAGGAGGCAAAATGAAAGTGCTCCACCGTATCCTGTAAACATTTTACAAGCAGGAACTCACTGATTGTGCAGAGTATTTGAATAAACAAAGTATTCTCCAAACAGCCTCAACGCACAGGAAGGAACCTGTGCAGTGGGCCTCTTTTTTTGTTTTTCTTCTCCCATTTGTAGCCAAGAAGAAGGCACGTAGTTGGAGGAACTAGTAAGGGGCTGGAGTTGAGGATTAATAGGTGTTGAATGCAGAAGGATGGAGGAGGCCAGCAAGATGGAAGAGGAGGTGTGGTTGGGCTGCGATGAATCAATGCAGCGCCATTCTCCTGCATAGCACTACTCTGGAGTATAATCCACGTCACTTTGTTTTCAATTTGACCCCCCCACCAGCCCCATAAGGATGAGAGAGTGGGTCTGTCTTGCCCACTGGGCACAGCTGTGGTTGGCCTGTCCAAGCTGCCCTGTATTGTTGAATCAGGCCTGCAGCCCAGCACACAGGGCACCAAACCCACCCACTTAGCGTGTTTCCGTGACAGTGGCTGAGGATCACAGCCCAGCAAACACGAATCCTGCTTCTGATTCTAAACTCACTCCTGATTGCATTGTCTTTCAAAGGAAAAAGCTTTTGTAACAAAGATTCTTTCATATTTTAAAAAATTTTGCACTGTCACTTTTGAAATATGTTGATAATATCGTCACTGACATTGTAACAGAGCTCTTTTCCCTTGTGCATTGTATCTTCATACGCTCTCACAACACCCAGCACTGCCACATCTCCCAGGTGCAGACCCTGCACTCTACTCAAGGCCACCTGCCAAGTTCCTCCCACTGGACAGGCTACCTCCCACCATCCTCCCTGGCACGAGGAAGACGGAGGGACACGGGCTTGGGAACAGCACTATAGAGTCCATGGCGCCAGCCCACAGGCATCAGAGGCCCTACCCAGACACTGGAGGACTAGACGGAGAGAGGAGGAAGATGCGGGAACCATGAGGAGTGGGATGGGCAGGCTTTGGTAACTACATGGGCCTGACAAACTGGGGAGATGGGGCAGTCGAGGGTGACTTGAACACGTGTCTCTGAGCCTGATGACAGGAAGCACAGCATTGCCCAATGTGAATGGTGACCCTGGATTGTGAAATCAGGGCCCTGTTGCCATCCACAGACATTCAGGGAGTCATGAAGATAAATAATACACGAGTTTATTTATCTATAAAATAGTGTTTGAGCTCCGTAATTACAGCCAGGCCACCTTCTTTCTCATCGATTCCACTTTAGCTTGAAAATAAGAAAAACAGCTGTTTAACAGACTCAAAATATTCTATGATGTAGAACTTAAAGTTTATAAAATTACAGGGACCAAAGTCAATTTATGAGAATATACGTATGTTCTGGTCATTAAAGTCCTTAAAACACAGACTGTGCAATAGTAAAATACAGTCCTTTGCTCATAAGTAAAATCTCCTTAGGGGAGCCAGCCGGTGGTGCAAGCAGTTAAGTGCGCGCGCTCCACTGCAGCAGCCCTGGGTTCGCCAGTTTGCATCCCGGGTGTGCACCGACACACCACTTGTCAGGCCACGCTGTGGCGGCGTCCCATATAAAGTGGAGGAAGATGGGCATGGATGTTAGCCCAGGGCCAGTCTTCCTCAGCAAAGAAAGAGGAAGATTGGCAGATGTTAGCTCAGGGCCGATCTTCCTCACAAAAAGAAAAAAAATCTCCTTAGTAACTCAATAATAAATTGGTCATTACTTAACAAATAATTAACAATTTCCATGGAAAAAAATTCCACCTGGGTTGCCTTATTTAGTAAGTACTTAAATTCTCTAAAGTAAAGGTGAACCTGTCAAAACACTGATTTTTTCCTAACGATTCAAGGTTTCTTATGAATGGTGCTCTTTTCTATTCTGATCATCTCCCCAAGGTAAACTGACTTCCCCCAGGTGTTGACTCTGGAAAGGGAACCCGCAGGGTGGGGGAAGCACCTAGAATCTCAGCAGGGTTTTCTTACCGGGGCTTGTGCAATAATCTAGAAAAGTCGCATGCTCTGACTGAATGATGGACTGGAGTGTACATGTGGGGGCCCTCTGCCCTCTCTGCTCCTGCAGCCCCCCTTTGAACGGCCCCCAGACAGGGAGGCTCAGCCACTGGTGGGGACTCTGCTGGCAGCTCCTCCCAGACCAGCAGGACCTGTGCACTTGTCAGGGACAGGAAAGGTTCCGGGGAACACTTCTGCCATGAGGCACAGAGTGGGGGACAGGGGCCCCCACCACACAGCCTCCCACCACTTAGAACACCAGCTCTCCTCACCAGGGCTTTCCACCCAACCGCCCACTGCAGTCTCACTCAGGGCGCTTTGTAGGTCTCAGCTCATCCACCACCCAGGACGTCTGCGCAACTGCTAGGAAGAGTGAGGGAGATTTTACAGGACACACGTGGAAAAATATTCAAGATATATTGTCAAGTAGAAAAGCAAGAACTTGAAGAACAAGTTTAAGAGTGTGAATCTGTTCTTTTCCGTGTATTCTGTGGACAGCTAGCGTGTGGTGAGAAAACATTCAGAAGGAAGTTACACTGGTGGTTAGATTATGGGGACACTAATGTTCTAAACTGCCTTGTTCTGGGTTATGAAATATGTTTGTAATAAACACGTGCACATTTGTGAATAGAAGATTCCAGGGTGAGAACAAATGTGCTCAACCAGACCTTGAGTGTCCTCTTCATCCTCCCAGGCACTTGCTCTTGGGGCCCAAAGACATGTCCTCCTCACCCAGCAGGGTGATGGGCCACTCACTCCCTACAGTGCATGCTGGGCCCCTACTCGTGCCAGGCGCGGCTGGCAGGCTCCACAGACCATCCGCGGTCTCCTTCCTGGAAGTCCACGTTCTCTTGCCTCCCGCAGGCCCTACACTTCATGCTCCTCACAGCACGTATTCCAGACCCCGGCATGCCTGGCAGGCACACATTGGACATGGTCCAAGTTCAAGCATTGCCCATAGCAGGATGTTCCCGTCCCAGGTCTGTGGGGAGTTGAAAACCTTTCTTAGTTTCTGTAGCGATCCCCATCTGATGTTCTCTTCCCCCTGCCATTCACTGCACCAGGGGCTTTTTGTGTTTTTCAAGAACCAACTCACCTGGAGAGTCTAGGAGCCTTTTCACATGACCTTACTGCTAATGGTCTCAAACTGGTGCCCTCCCTGCGCTGCATGTGGGACAATCCCTGGGGATGGGGCGAGTTGTCCAAGATTAGACAACTGGACCTGAGAAGACCCAAGACTTGGGGTCCAGCTGCAGAGGCCACTCCCTGTCCTCCTTCCATCTTTTGGGCTTCGGTACTAGTGCCCATGAGGTCAGCACTGGAGGGCATGTGACACACAAAACTTCCACAGGGCCAATCACTCTGTGAGCACTCAGAAGGCAGGACCTTGGTTTGAATGGCTTTTGGAACACTGGATTCCTAGTGCCCTGGGCTGGGCATAGCATTGGCTGTCAAGGGACTGAGGGGAGGACCTGATCCCCCTGGGGACATGCGTCGGGGCATCCAGTTTCATGTGCCAAGTAGCTTCCTGCGGTTCTGCTTCCCAAAGGCTTTAAGGAGTCTCACAGGAAAGAAAAATCCAGAAGGTTGAGTTCCTCAGGCTTGATGACACCAGGAGCAGTAGGGAGAAGGTGACATTTAACTGGCATAAAAAGCTGAGACCAAAAGATGGATGATTCACTCACAAGGTGCTGACGGGATGTTGGGGGGGGATGTGGAAGACTTCTGGTGACACTCTCTTCTGACCCTCTCCTTGCTCCACGCCAGGCACCTGGCTAACGTGATGCTAAGATCAAGCCCTGCTGGAGAAGCCTTGTGCTGGGACAGAGCTGCAAAGAGACCCTGGAAGCAGTGACATCCCTGCTCCCAGTGAATAAGTCCCTGGTTGGGGCTGGGTAAGGCCGGGGGAGGAGCAGGAGCCAAAGCTGCGAGTGGGCAGAAGGGCAGAGAGAGGACAGGAGGTAGTTAGGGTTTAAGAACGGGACCTGGGCAGGGACAGTCCGAACCTCACTTTCCTGTTCACAGTAGAGGGCACAGTGTCCTGGAGACCCCAGTGTCTTCCTCCTCCCCACTCCCCAACTTCCCAATGACCAGGATAGGACTCAGAAATAAACAACACCGCTGGGTCTGCGTAGCCTCCACAGGGCGAGGGTTTGTGCCACGTCCAGTCCCCGCCTTCCAGAGGTACAGGCTGACATGCACAGCTGGTCCTCAGAGCCCAGACGTGTCTGGGTGTCTATATGGAACTACGGCCAATTTACGTACTGACTCCTGATTCGCCTTTTCTGGTGAAGCAAATACAGGGGTGTAAAAGTAGAGGTGGGAAGGGACCCCCAAGAGCAGTCGTGGAGACAGAAGGCAGCGAACTGCCCCGACACCCCACGGGCTGCAGGGACGTTCCCGTGCCCCTACAAAATACAGAGATGAATTCCTGATGACTGCCAGGTTTCAACCCGCAGCGGCCAGAACTAGGAGTGCTCCCTGACCGCACGGGGCAGGGGGTACAGAGCGCACCGGCCACGGTTCCTTCTCCGGAAGGCCGGGGAGTGGGGGCTGGGGTGCAAAGACAGTTGCAGGGACGCGGCGGGGTTCCTGCCAGGGTCATCGGTGGCTGGGGCATGTCCTGGCAGCACGAACTCTTGCGCAGAGTCGAGGGGATAAGCCGGGTCGGGCCTAGAAGAACGAGCCCTGGCGGAGAGGGAGGAGGGTCCCCATTTCCCCTCCCGGTCCTTGTCCTCTAGCCCAGAAGTAAAGCCCAGAATCAGTGGAGCAAAATGAGTTGGAAACTCCGTAGCAAGCATTCGAGGTAACTGATCCCTTTTGCCGGGGGCGGGGGGGGGGTGTATTTAATTTTAAAACATGCTCATTGCAAATCAGTTAAATGTGCAGCCCCGGAAAAGTCACTTCCCCGCTGCTGTCTTTCACACCTGCCGGATCCGACCCCGAGTGTCCCCAGTGAGCAGTTTACCAGATTCCTCCCAGTCGTTCTCCTGCACCGCAACAGAGATGGGGCTCACAAACAACTAATAATCCCACAGCCGGCGCCTGGGGTCCCCCCTTCCTGCAGAAGGTGGTGGGAAGCTCTTGCTTTGATTTCTCTTTTCAGACAGAAAAACAGCTAGTGGTGAGCTTGGAGATGAAACTCAGTATAGAAAAAATGTGCAACTTCAAACCTTTTCCATGTTGATTGAGGTTCCTGGCCAATTGCCCTTTTGAGATTCCTTATATGTCAAAAAAATTTTTTTAAATGACAAACCAAGGTTACAGGAATAACGAAATTTTAAATGTTTTTATTTAACTAATACTAAATTCAAAAAAGCAATCATTTTGTACTCATAAAATAATTACAGAACTTATTTTTAAAATAGTCTATGTTAAGTGGGATCCACATTTAACACTGCTTCATGAATGACTCAATTTAGTCAGGATGGTGTGTCTCAGGTGACTGTACGGATACCTGCATAGACAAGGTAAAAAAATCTAAACTTGACGGTTTTGGGAATGTGAGACCTAGGCCTCTGACATCCCAGTCCCCTGGGTCTCTCCCCAATAAGTCTTGCCTATTCTGCGCATATACATGCTCAATCATTCTTAAAACTCTGAAGCCAATAAAAAATTACATTAGATTTTTTTAATTGATGTCTTAATACTTTATAACATTGTGAAATTTTGGTTGTACATTATTGTTTGTCAGTCACCATGTAAAGGCCTCCGTTCACCCCTTGTACCCACTCCACAATCCCCTTGCCCCTAGTACCCCCCATACAGTTCTCTCTGTCCATGTGTTCGTTTATATTCCATATATGTGTGAAATCACGTGGTGTTTGTCTTTCTATCTCTGGCTTATTTCACTTAACATAATACCCTCCATGTCCAACTATGTTGTTGCAAATGGGACGATTTTGTCTTTTTTTATGGCTAAGTAGTATTCCATTGTATAGATATACCACATCTTCTTTATCTGGTCATCTGTTGAGGGGCACTTGGGTTGTTTCCACTTCTTGGCTATAGTGAATAATACTGCAATGAACATAGGGGTGCATAAGCCTCTTTGGATTGTTGATTTCAGATTCGTTGGATAGATTCCCAGTAGTGGGATAGCTGGATCATAGGGTATTTCTATTTTTAATTTTTTGAGGGATCTCAATACTGTTTTCCATAGAGGCTGCACCAGTTTGCATTCCCACCAGCAGTGAATGAGGGTTCCCGTTTCTCCACAGCCTCTCCAACATTTGTTGTCTTTTGTCTTGGTGATTATAGCCATTCTAACGAGTGTCAGGTGATATCTGAGTGTAGTTTTGATTTGCATTTCTCTGATGATTAGTGATGTTGAACATCTTTTCATGTGCCTACTGGCCATCTGTGTATCTTCTTTAGAGAAGTGTCTGTTCATTTCCTCTGCCCATTTTGTGATCGGGTTGTTTGCTTTGTTGTTGTTCAGATGTGTGAGTTCTTTATATATTATGGAGATTAACCCCTTGTCAGATATACAATTTGCACCATATTTTCTCCCAGCTGGTGGGTTGTCTATTCATTTTGATCCTAGTTTCATGTGCCTTGTAGAAGCTGTTTAATCTGATGAAGTCCCACTTGTTTATTTTTTCTTTTCTTTCCCATGTCTGAGCAGACGTACAATCCAAAAAGATCCCTTTATGACCGATGTCAAATAGTGTACTGCCTATATTTTCTTCCAGGAGTTTTATAGGTTCAGGTCTCACCTTCAGGTCTTTGATCCGTTTTGAGTTAATTTTTGTGAATGGCGAAAGCAGATGATCTACTTTCACTCTTTTGCATGTGGCTGTCCAGTTTTCCCAGCACCGTTTATTGAAGAGACTTTCCTTTCTCCATTGTATGTTTTTAGCTCCCTTATAGAAGATTAGCTGTCTGTAGGTGTGTGGTTTTATTTCTGGGCTTTCAACTCTGTTCCATTGATCTGTGTGTCTGTTTTTGTACCAGTACCATGCTGTTTTGATTACTATCGCTTTGTAGTATGTTTTGAAGACTGGGATTGTAATGCCTCCAGCTTTGTTCTTCTTTCTCAGGATTGCTTTGGTTATTCAGGGTCTTTTGTTGCCCCATTTGAATTTTAGTATTCTTTGTTCCATTTCCATGAAGAATGTCATTGGGATTCTGATTGGGATTGCATTGAATCTGTAGATTGCTTTAGGTAATATAGACATTTTAACTACGTTTATTCTTCCAATCCATGTACATGGAAAATCTTTCCATTTCTTTTTGTCATCATCGATTTCTTTCAATAATGTCTTATAGTTTTCATTGTATAGGTCTTTCACCTCCTTGGTAAGATTTATTCCTAGATATTTTGTTCTTTTTGTTGGGATTGTAAATGGAATTATCTTTTTGAGTTCTCTTTCTGTTAGTTTGTTATTAGCATACAGAAATGCAACTGATTTTTGTAAGTTGATTTTGTAGTCTGCAACTTTGCTGTAGTTGTTGATTATTTCTAATAGTTTTCCAATGGATTCTCTAGGGTTTTCTATATATAAAATCATGTCATCTGCAAATAGTGAGAGTTTCACTTCTTCGTTGCCTTTTTGGATTCTTTTTGTTTCTTTTTCTTGCCTAATTGCTCTGGCCAAAACCTCCAGTACTATGTTGAATAAGAGTGGCCAGAGTGGGCACCCTTGTCTTGTTTCTCTTCTCAGAGGAATGGCTTTCAGACTTTCCCCATTGAGTATGATGTTGGCTGTGGGTTTGTCAAGTATGGCCTTTATTATGTTGAGGCACTTTCCTTCTATGCCTATTTTGTTGAGAGTTTTTATCGTAAATTGATGTTAGATCTTGTCAAATGCCTTCTCTGCATCTATTGAGATGATCGTGTGGTTTTTATGCCTCATTTTGTTAATGTGGTGTATCATGTTGATTGATTTGTGGATGTTGAACCATCCCTGCGTCCCTGGTGTAAATCCCACTTGGTCATGGTGTATGACCTTTTTAACATATTGCTGCATTTGGTTTGCCAATATTTTATTGAGGATTTTTGTGTCTATGTTCATCAGCAATATTGGCCTGTAGTTTTCCTTTTTTGTATTGTCCTTGTCTGGCTTTGGTATTGGGGTGATGTTGGCCTCGTAGAATGTGTTGGGAAGTGTTCCATCTTCTTCTATGTTTTGGAATAGTTTGAGAAGGATAGGTATTAAATCTTCTTTGAATGTTTGGTAAAATTCTCCAGAGAAGCCATCTGGTCCTGGACTTTTATTTCTTGGGAGGTTTTTGATTACTGTTTCAATCTCCTTACCTGTGACTTGTCTATTCAGATTCTCTATGTCTTCTTGGTTCAGTTTTCGGAGGTTGTATGAGTCTAAGAATTTATCCATTTTCTTCTAGATTGTCCAATTTGTTGGCATATAGTTTTTTACAGTATTCTCTTAGAAGTCTTTGTATTTCTGTGGTAGCTGTTGTAATTTCTCCTCTTTCATATCTAATTTTATTTATTTGAGACCTCTCTCTTTTTTTATTAGTGAGTCTGGCTAAGAGCTTGTCAATTTTTTTTATCTTCTCAAAGAACAAACTCTTTGTTTCATTGATACTTTCTACTGGTTTCTTAAATTTCAATTTCATTTATTTCTGCTCTAATTTTTATTATTTCTCTCCTTCTATTGACTTTGGGGTTCATTTGTTCTTCTTTTTCTAGTTCTGTTAGGTGTAGTTTGAGGTTGCTTATTTGGGAGGGAGTTCATTACCACTAGAATTGCCCTAAAAGAAATCCAATGACGTCCTCAAAGTTGAAATGAAAGGGCAATAGATAGTAACTAGAAGCCATACAAAATGTAAAGATCTCCGATAAAGGCAAATACAGAGACAAATATAAAAATAAAAATTATTGTAGAATTTAGATTTTTATTTTTTACAGAATTTAAAAGACACATGCATAAAAATTAATTATTAATCTATGTTAATTGGTACATAAGATATAAAAATGTAATTTGTGACATCACTAGCATAAAGTGAGGGGTGGAACTGTACAGGAGTTTGGAGTTATTTATAAGTAACTGACGTTAAATTGGCATCTATTTAAAATAGATTGTTAGATCTTTATGATGTTCTATGTAATCTCCATAGTAACCACAAAGAAAATATCTGTAGAATATACACAAAGGCAGTAAGAAGGGAATTAAAACATGTCATTACAAAAAATTAGCTAACACAAAGGAATATACTTAAAGTGCTGGATCTAATTAAGGACTAAAAATGTATAAAGCATTCAGAAAACATATCAAAAAATGGGAAAAGTATGTCCTTCTCTATCAGTAATTACTTTAAATGTAAATGTATTAGATTTCCCAATCAAAAGACATAGATTGTAAGAATGGATTAAAAAAAAACCATATCCAATAAATGCTATGCACAGGAGACTCACATTAGATCTAAGGACACACACAGATTGAAAGTGAAAGGATGGAAAAAGATATTCCATGCAAATAGTAAGCAAAACATAGCAGCAGTGGCTATACTAGTATCAAAAAAAAAAAAAATAGACTTTAAGTCAAAAACTGTTACAAGAGACAAAGAAGGGCATTAGAGTTAGTAAAAGGGTCAACTGACCAAGAAGATATAATGAATATAAATATAAATATGCACCAAACATGAGAACTCCAAAATATATGAAACATAGATAGAATTGTGGGAAGAAAACAGCTCTACAATAGTAGTAAGAGACTTCAATATCCCACTTTCAATAATGAGTAGAACAACCAAAATGAAGATAGATAAGCAAATAAAGGGCTTGAACAACGCTATAGAACAATCAGATCTAATAGGCATATACAGAAAACTCCGAACAACAACAAGGAAGACACATTTTAAAAATGTACCTGGAACAGGTAGACCACATGTTAGGCCCCAAAACAAGTCCTTGTAAGTTGAAAATGACTGAAATCATACAAAGTATATTTTTTGATCACAATGGATTGAAAGTAGAAATCAATAGGAGGAGGAAAACTGGAAAATTCACCAATATATGATAATT